TTCTATTTAAGTGATTTCTTGATTCAACAGGTCTAGCAGTAATCAGGCCTGGGTGTGGCTAGTGAAATTTAACTCCGCTTTCTAAAATAATGTGGTTAATCACAGTTCTTTCATGATTTAACAGGAGGGACAAATCATTTTTCACATAGGGCCAGGTAGGTTTGGACAGCTTTTTTCCCTTAAATTAAATCATCATTTCAAAACTGCATTTTGTATTTACTTGCATTATCTTTGTGTAATATTAAAATGTGTTTGATGATCTGAATATTTTAAGTGTACAAATATGCAAAAAAAAACAAAAAAACAGTAAGGGGGCAAAAACCTTTTCACGGCACTGTAAGTATAAGAGAAATCTGAGATGGGAATTTTCCCCTCATGCAAAATTTCACACAGATTGTACTGGAATGACTGGATTTCTTATATGAATTTTGCCAAGCAATGGTATATGTGACTTCACATGAAAACTCATGATGGATGGGAAATTCATTCACACATACTGAGAGAAGTGGATGGCTTGCTGTCCCGCTATGCTAAAGTAGAAGTTGGTAGTGTGTTTCATCTCATCTGTGTGGCCTGTCTCTTCGATCCAGTGACCAATCGGATGGCAGTATACCCCGTCCACCATGTTACTGTCGTCATACACACAGTGCCGGTCATGATTAGGCCCATTGCCTATAGACACACACATCAAACAATTATCAGTCATTTACATAATCATCTCAATGACACATCAATGACAAACTAGAATAAATTATACAATGAAAAGGAAATTCTTGTAAAAAACTAGTTTTTAGTTGTTCGGTCATACTTTAAGGTTTAATTCTCACTATTAACAAACCATTAACTACGATGTTTGCCTCAGTGAACTCCTAATTTGCTGCTTATTAATAGTTAGTAAGGTAGTTGTTAAGTTTAGGTGTTGGGTAGTATTAGGGATGTAGACTATGGTCATGCAGAATATGTGCTTTATAAGTACTAATAAACAGCCAATATGTTAATAATAGGCATGCTAATAAGCAGCTAGTTAATAGTGAGAATTGGTCCTTATACTAAAGTGTTACCAGTTGTTCTAAGTTCTTACTATTTTCAACAAATTGTTTTATTTATTGACTTTAAAATGTCAGGTGATGTAACATGATCTAAACTAATAACATATTTCAGTTGCATTTTTCACACATGTGGAATGCACACATTAAGTCATTCTTTTAAAAAAGTTATTATTTTTATAATTTTGGATCATGAATATCACAAAATTATGTTAGCATAGATAGATAGATAGAATTTATCTATCTAATTTATCTAACAACTGTCTTAACTGATATCACAAAAGCATTTTAATGTATTCTGGAGCACATTAAATATGTTTCAATGTTTGAATAAATACATAATTCACTCCAACACATTTTTGATCTACTCTGTGTCAATGAATTATTTTACTTAAACTTTTACACTTGCACTAATGTTAAATGCAATAAACACTCTTATTCCATCTTAATTATACAACAGTAGGTATCTAAATGAGAATTTTAACAATGGAAATTACATTTATTTCATGCTTCAAAGTGTCAGGGTCTCTTGAAAACTTTTGAAATACACATTATTGTCCATTTCTGAGACAAAAACGGCTTTTTTGTGTAAGCCTTTTATTTCTGAAGGGGAGGGTCAATAGCCAATTAAATTACTGAGTGTTTTTCAGACTCTGCAGGTCACCTGTTCCTGACCTCTGAGAGTTCACATTTAAAAGCTAAGGGTTTCCTTCATTAATTCAGCAACTTCCTGTAATGGCCGTATTTCTGCATAATTTTGATGGTCAAGTCATAAGCTTGATTCATAAAACAATAAACATTCAAATGAATCCTTGCGTTGCTAAAACTGTAGCACAGTGCTTCCTCAGTTCTACACGTACACGTAATGCACTGTAATGAGGGAGAGCGTATGGGTTTCTGAAATTGCATGCATCCCAAACTCACATTCATCCTGAAAGTACGTGGGGGGGGTTTGATATTTGTCCGACATTTATCATCCCACCCCACTGCTGTCGCCCTTTCCACTGCTGGGCTGATGAGAGTCTCACAGCTGCAGCCCACACAGCAAACAAGCTCCTCATGCTGACTCATATAGCATGAACAAAACCTATGCCATTACTATCATGCTTACAGTCTCAGCTGAAGCCACATACATACATTGGATACTGTATACACCACACAGTATGCAGATGGTGGAGTTTAAATTGGCGGGCTTGAGTTTGTATGTCTTAAACCAATATTGCCATACAAAGCCAAAATGTAGTAAGGTTACCAAAACTGTTATTTCTTTTTGCTTGATTTAACATTGTTCTAAAATCTCATTTATAAAATGGATTGTTCTGACACTACATTCTGAAACAATGGTAAAGCAGTGGAACACAGAATCTTGTTCAGAACATGTTTTTGCGCTTAAAGGAATAGTTCCCCCAAAAATGAAACTTCGCTTTTTTGTAGATGAGTTTGTTTCTTCATCAGATTTGGAGAACTGTAGCAT